AGCTCTAAAAGGCCATAATTTGTCAACACACGATACGCATTGCCCCATTTTATCGCTCATCCATCATCTGAGAACTGCTGTTCCGAATTTTCTCCCGCGTCAGAACACATACAACTCAAATATTTGGAGAGGCGCTTCCAAAAACCAAAGTTTGATGGAAAAAAGAAATGGCCATTATAGTTAAGGCAAACAGAAATTGTGTCTGGTCGGTAACAATATTAAGTATATAGACACAGTGGCCGTTCTAGAAAGTAATAATAAAGTTTGACAAGTTTTTGTTTGGTTTATGGTGGGATGGGTTTAAAAGGTTGTGTTTTATTCAATTTCACGGTTCTATTTATAGAGTAATACAAGTATAGTGAAGTTATTCATAAACACTCATTTGTTGTACGCCAATTTACTAGCATTAAAAAAAACTTATACAGGGTCCGGCAATAGTGCGTCGGGCATCTGTAGCTCCTAGAATAAAAAAACTTGAGAATTTTGTTTAAGTGCAAACCTAAAGTATGTACCAGGATCTATTTCAGGAAAATATTTTAACTTCTATAAGGTGGCTCAAAAAAGTGTGAGTGGACGTGGGTGATTTTTTTTTAAATGGAACACCCTGTATATTATTGCATTGTAACGTTTTTAGTTCATTACATGTCTTTTTTATATATGATATATATATGATGTCTGGCGTATCGTCATCGGATTCCGTATCGTTCAGGCCTGATAATTTATTTGACGCGCTTGGCGTAATTTTTACGTTCCCTAGTCGCCAACCCTGTTATCGTTTGACACAACCCTGTTATCGCTCTGAGGAGGCGTTGTCAACATCGCTTCTGTCAACTCTCTCCGTGCTTAACCTCACTTTGTTTTGCCGCTCTGTTGTATCCCGGTTTTTAGAAATGGTGATTATTTAAATCTTGCTGTATAATTTGAATCAGCTGCTATTGCAAACCAACAGGTAAAGATGAAATATTATCCTTTTAGATTCGATATTATTACTGCATATTTTTAGGGTAGAGTTTTGGATGTCCCAACTTAACTTATATTTGTATTTTGCTGGCACGTTGGCGTCCCTTTTCTTTTGTCCTCCAGAATGTTACATGGAAGAAAGGACAATTTCTTTGGTTATTATTGAGCCCTCGGAAGTGTTTCGAGGTAGGTTTATTTTGTTTATTAGATCTTGTTTAGTTCTAAACAAGAGTTTCGTATTTTTAGGGTCTTATGGACGTACATTATCTTAGGGACGTACATTATCTTATGGACGTAATTATCTTATGGACGGACTGTGTCTAAGGTACGGGTAGTGTTCCCCTGTACCGTTATCTTATGGACGGACTGTGTCCAAGGTACGGGTAGTGTCCCCATATTGCCACAGTATGGATGTAGCGTAAGCACCATGCTGCTTCGTTCCTATTCCTCAGTCTAGTCAGTAATTACGGCTGTATCAATTTATGGTGTCCTCATTCTGGCCCCCTTTTGTTGTATTGGATGGCCGAGTACAGAGATGCGAGACCACCTCACGCTGTTACTGTTTGAAGCAAGATTACATAAAGAACAGCTAAGTGTAGTTTCATGTTCAAGTTTTACATTTAACATCTAAAACATTTTCAGTCTTAAACAATAACGTACGTCTTAAGTAATATCGGACAGACTATGTTTAGTGGTTAGATTGTTAAGAACATTCATGTCGATTTAATATTTAAAATATGATTTAGATCTTAGGTTTCATTACTTTACGTCTTGTAATGATATTACTTTCATAGATATTTAGTACAACTCTTAACACCATTTTTTTTACATATAATAATAATAGCTCCCGTATATAGCGTTTAACGCCTTGGGAGTAGCAAGGTACAGCTTGCTATACTAGAGCCGTTCGGTATACAAGGAAGGTAATGTGGCTAGCACTACGCTTCAACCGCCTATTATTACCTCAGGATTGTGAATCCCAAGTACTCATTTAAGGCTGAGTCGACCTAGGTACCCAAACTATTTTTATTTTAATAAAAATAGTCGGCTGATAAAATGCCGGGTTTGGGAATCGAACCCACACCTTGAGATTGGTAGACGAGAGCCTGTACCTCTACGCCACCGGGCACCTTTATATAACATATAACTACTATATATTTATTAGAATTCTACAATGTCATGTACCAGCAAAGAACATCATGAAATATAGTCATTAGTTTTAAGTAATATACAACTGTGTTTTCTTTCTCTGTTCATGCCTGGCGCCCAATATTTATAATTTCGAGTTATTATTGTTAATTAGTTCTTTCCAGTGAAATACCTTATCCACGACTGCTCTACCAACGAAAAGCTGCCGTTCACAGTGGTAATGTTTATAAAAACGCTACAGCATTTTTGGCTTCCTTTCAGATCACTTTACATAATCCTAAGACATGAGTAAATATATTTCGATAATTTCACAGATGTAATTTGTATAAATAAATAAAAATTATATATTTTTCAGCCTTTGTTAAAAAAATTATTAATAATACAAGAACTGTCCTGAAATCACAACTATATTAGGTACTTACTGTAGATGGTCTGTACTTAACTTTGCTATAAATATGGAAATCGTAAATCATACAGGATGTTCAAAATTCTACGCCAAACTTTCTAAAATATAAAATAATTTTTCTTCGTTTTTTAAATGGAACACCCTGTATATTATGTTTTCAAAGATGAAGAATTAAAAAATGAACATTTTTTGTATTTAGAGTATTCCAAAATTTTTAACGGTTTCGCAGATATTCGGGGTTTTATATTTCATATGGAATTTTCCACAGTAAATTTTTATCAAAGCCACCCAATGATTTTTCTCGTGTATTTTACCATTGAAAGCGCCATATAATATAATACTGCGTGTATCTGCAAAACTATTAAACATTTTAAAATACTTTAAATACAAAAAATGTTCATTCTTTAACTCTCCATCCAATAAAAAAATAATATACAAGGTGTTCCATTAAAAAAAAAACAAAGAAAAAATATTTTATATTTTAGAAAGTTGTGAATGTTTTTGTTTTAGAATGTTTTTGATTTATTGATTAATATCTCTTAAACTATCGAAAAATATTTACCCATATCTTAGGATTATGTAAAGTGATCTAAAAGGAAGCCAAAAATGCAATAATATACAGGGTGTTCTATTTAAAAAAAATCATCCACGTCCACTCACACTTTTTGAGCCACCCTATAGAAGTTAAAATATTTTCCTGAAATACATCCTGGTACATACTTTAGGTTTGCACTTAAACAAAAATCTGAAGTTTTTTATTCTAGGAGCTACAGATGCCCGACGCACTATTGCCGGACCCTGTATACTCTATTTAAGTATAAAAAATCATACATATAGTGTACATCGGAACTGCTCAATAATGCTTAATGATTTTATCCACGACTCGTCTATAATTTGATTATTATACATGAGTTTATAAAATAATAATAATATTCATTATTCACTAGTGAATAATGGGGTTTCATTATTCACCGCTTCCACAGATATCTCGATCCAAACTCCAAACAAGAGCTATTTGAAGTTTTTAATGTCACTTTTTGCATTCATCTGTGGGGTGTTCCAAAAGCTGTTTTTCTTGTCATAAGATTTTTGAAATATTTTTTCCTTTTTAATAAGTCTCTCATGTTATATCTCGACATTTAAACAAATTATTAAACACCATTAGAAGAAACAATGTTAAAATTCCCTTATTTTCTACTCTAAAATTCGATTTAAAAATTTGAAGTTTTATATGTCACTTTTTGCATTCTAAAATTCGATTTAAAAATTTGTTTCAATGTTTTCAATGTTATTTTTTGCCTTCATCTATGGGGGGTTTCAAAATTTGTTTTTTAAAAATAAAAACTTATATTAATATTATCTAATTTTTTTTGATAGTCCTGGATCAAGAACAGTTAACCTAATAGGACTGCTCATTCAGCCAAAAGTGTCCGCCAGGTGCATGCGAAAACTACTCGCTTTGTGACGTCATTGTAGCCCTTGTCATGGTTATTAGTCCTTATCCGGCAACCAATAATACAAACACGTGCATTACTGGTTACCGAATGCAAAACGTTCATTATTTAGTTTATTTATTTAAACACCTTATATGTATGCAGTATAGAAAATTAACTGTATAAATCGTATTAAATACTCGGATAATGCATTTTTAAGAACAGCAGTTCCCAGTGTATCACCTTTTGCAAGCATTCTTTTTAGAGTACTTCCATATTTTGCTTTAAAATAATTAATAAACAAAATCGTGGGCACTTAGTATGCACTTTGTCACAATCCACAACACAAAATGAACGTATTTATACACTCCATAGCTCTAAAAACTTTAAAGACACCTTTTTCACATTTAAAATTGACAAAATAATTAACTCAAAATTTATCAGCTGTTATTTTTATAAGTTTACCATAGGCAACTAATAATACACACTATCATGACAAGGCCACGAAGGCTTTGACAAGGGCTACAATGACGTCACAACTGTCAGCTGAAGCGCGGGAAGAGGCGAACGTACGTCTTATGAGGATGAGCAATCCTACTAGTTTACCGTTCTTGGTACTAGATAAAGTATAGTACTTTACTCGCATATAATGGCTGTTATTCACTTGGATGATTTGAACATCCACCATTATATGCTCGTTGAATAATATACTATTGCTTTCATTAATAATAATTATTGAATTTAATATTTTGAACTATATTTTAAATTCGTTTTAAATTTAATGTACTTAATAGCATAGAACGAAATAACGAGATATGCAACGATTACGTTGTCACTCGTTATGCGTATTGTATTATGGATATATTCCTTCAAAAATTGTTTGCGATGGTGACAATGATAAATGTTATAATATTAGGATAATTGTTTTTAGTTAAAAAAAAAGAAAAAATACAGTAATTTGATTTAGAAGTAATTTCATAAAGTTATTATAGTTGTTATAACGATCAAATCTTTCGTCTACCGCAATATTTATATTTTTATTTATATTCTAGGACACAGTATGGCCCCAGTCAACCGGCACACCTCAAAAGGAAGACTTGTATTGTCGATATTTTGCCTTCAAACGCTCTATATCCAATTTATTATTGGTAAGTAGTAAATTAAGTTATAACTTTATAATCTAAAATAAAAACACCAATACTAACATTTTTTACTTCCAAAATTGTGGAAAATGTATAGTATATTGTTTTATTAGGACTAAAAATTATACTTTTTGTGGCGAGGCTGTAAGTTTGACGGACGAGCGTTAACACGTCCGATATTACAGATGAGCTACAAAAAGTCATCTTTACTCCGAATAGAATAAGTAATTTTTTTTAAACGTCACAAATAATTTTTTAAATAATTTTAAACGTTCCAAATAATATAAAAAGATTTACAAGAAATACCTTGTAAATAATTGGAGACATAAGTGGATAAAAGTGTCCTAATAAACACGTCTAAAAATTATTGATGGTGTATGTGACATGACACCTTTATCACCGAGGATATTCTTTATAGTATTTTTATATTTGATATTTAGAGTCTATTGGAGGATAGATCTGTCAAAGGGACGTTGAAATACTGAACTTAAACTGATTTTAAAAAAAATGCGACATACCTTTATAAACTCATGTCTTCAATTATACAGGGTGTTTCAAAACAAATGCGAAAAACTTCAGGGGGTGATTCCTTGTTCAAAATAAAGGGTAGTTTGCCTCATAAACGTTGGGTCAAAAGTCAACCATTAGGGAGATATCGCGGTACAAAGATGGCGGAAAAATAAAGTTCTTATTTTTTATCTTGAAAACGAAAAGAGATAGACTAATGAAATTTTATGGAAGCATTACTGTTATAAAAACACACTTTCTGGTAATTTTTTCACTTTTTTAAAATGAGTGGAAGGGGTTGAAATAAACTACCCCTATCATTCTTGTTAACGAAATTTAAAGAAAAATCTTATCAAACACATGCAAAAAAAATAATTTGGATAGTTTAGTTTGTTTAGAAACTTTTTTATCTCTTGTATTTTATTATAAAACTCACCGATTTGAAATTAAAAAATAAAATGCAAAGCATTACATGTCAGGACTAAAAATATTTTTAGATTAAGAATCTAGTGATAATAATGATAATAATAATAATCTAGATAATAACGTATTGCAGTAAGGTAATGTCAAATAAAACAATATTAGAAACATCCTAAAAAGTGACAGCGGCCGACTAGATTTTTTCCTAAAAAAATTACAGCTGCCCACTAGATTCTTTATCTAAAAATGTTTTTTGTCCTGACATGTAATGCTTTACATTTTATTTTTTAATTTCAAATCGGTGAGTTTTATCAAAAAAATACAAGAGATAAAAAAGTTTCTAAATAAACTAAACTATCAAAATTAATTTTTTTGCATGTGTTTGATAAAATTTTTCTTTAAATTTCATTAACAAGAATGATAGGGGTAGTTTATTTCAACCCCTTCCACTCATTTTAAAAAAGTGAAAAAATTACCAGAAAGTGTGTTTTCATAACAGTAATGCTTCCGTAAAATTTCATTAGTCTATCTCTTTTCGTTTTCAAGATAAAATATAAAAACATTATTTTTCCGCCATCTTTGTACCGGCGATATCTCCCTAATGGTTGACTTTTGACCCAACGTTTATAAAGCAAACTACCCTTTATTTTGAACAAGGAATCACCCCCTGAAGTTTTTCGCATTTGTTTTGAAACAGCCTGTATATCGAGAATCTATGGTTACGCTCGTTGAACTTGACACTCTATGTCAGTTTAATAATATATTTTCGTACTTTTCTGCTTGGGCGTGAAAGTGCTTTACTTGTCTAGGCGCTAAAATTACTTTTTTTATTGTCAATCACGTCGCGAAAATTAATACTTTTGCGACGTTTGAAAAAAAATATTTTTCATTCCTTGAAATTTGTCTAATTTAATATTTAAAGGGATATGATATAAAATATATTTCTTCTGATATACGTATATAGATATGTATATTTATACGAATCTTTTGGAATTATAAGTAGATCTTTTTAAAATAAAAATGCCAAATTTTAAAAGACATGACACAGAAAAGAACAGACTTTTTGGTATCAAAATAAGTTTATTGGACACAATTTACCTTTATGCAAATGTGCTTCGTTTGTCCGTTAGAGAACACATTTTTTATGATATTTTCAGAACTGATATCCCGACTTAAAATGAGATTTGAGGTTGCAGAAAAGAAATAAGATAAAGTAACGGATAGGGTGAACCGTTACTTTATCTTGTTTCTTAATAATTAATTTTAATTGTGTTTTTTAGACATTGTGAATGATCGTAAACTAAAAAATATAAAGTGTAATCGAAACCACTAATTGGAAGGTTCTGAATGAAGCTTTAAGCTTTCAGCTTCATTCAGAACCTTCCAATTAGTGGTTTCAACTACACTTTATACTTTTTAGTTTAAAAAAGTAAATATTTTATCAGCCAAATATTTAGCTTATAAAACAATAAACGTTTGATTTCTAACAACAATTTCTCTTGATGAATGATAAAGTTCAAAATTACATTCCCCGCAAATTTTGAAGTATAATTAGTGGAACACTCAAAAGTTTGTACACTTTTTCCGCTAATTGAAAATAACTACCACTAATTTAGACGTTCTGAATACTTACATTGAAATTAAAGAAACAAAATTCTACGCTAATTGAAACCACTAATTTCTTCCACTAATTGCGGGGTTCTGTTATTCTCCTAGTATTTACTACATTTTTTGTCTCTTCTATAAAAATGCTACATCTAAAAGCTTTTGCGAAAAAAAATTGGTGAATCTCATTCAAAACGGATATTCGAGTCTTAAAATATATTAAAAAATGTGTTTATTTTTTAAGTTTGATACCCTCTAACTGTCAAACGAATCACTTTTATATAGAAGCAAATTGTGAATTTATTTCAATTCCAAAAATTTGTAGTATGAAACTTTGGTAGAATAAACTACGCCACTGGACTACTTCCGATGCTCAGTTCGTCGTTTTCTCTCGTTGTAGAGAGGGAAAATGGAGAGAATGTCGCGAGTGTGCCCCGCGGTAGTTGTTCCGAATGCGCTTTTACATTTTAAATTGGTCTTTGCGGTTAGACCTCTCTCATCTCTAAAGTTGAGATAAAACAGGAGACAGTTTAGGCGAAGTGAGAGATAAAAAGAACAAATGGTGCCGATCAGTGGCGTACAGTAGGGTGTTTTAGAGAATAAATGGCTGTTATATTTTGTTTTATTATTGTGATTTATCACCCGATATTTACAGTTGAGGGTTGGAAGCTTTGGTGTTACAACAGTAAAATAAAACACTAATTCAAAACAATACACCAAAACACTTTTCTTTTACACTCGACGCGCGTTTCGCTAACCATGTTAGCAGATTATTAAAACTGAGAGTTTTAATAATCTGCTGATGATTGCTTGAACGCGTATTATGGCGAATTAGTGTTTTATTTTACCTAATTTTCTCAAATTGTACAGTGTTAATATTTTATATCGAATGCGTTTTAAAAGTGGCTCAACCCTATAACTTTTATTTTTTCAGATAAAAAAAAGATATTTGGTTTGTTATTATATGACATAAATTAGGATTGATTGATGCATTCAATTGTTTTCGGTCACTTCGTGTTTCATCGGAAATGACTAGAACTTTTGATTTTTAATTGACACCCTCTGTAGTTTTTACTTTATTCGATAGAAAATGGCACTTTGAATAGAATGACATATCATATGTCAACTTTTGACATTTTGCATATGGTTTATTTGAAATTGTAACATGTTTATTTGAAATTTGGACATCTTTTAACCGGCCAGGACAAGACACGAAAAACGATTAAATATATTTTTCAAAGGATCCTTTATTAAAAATTAGTGTTTTTAACACAGCCATGACACTCTAGATTGAAATTTACAATACCATTTTTTTAGGCGAAAATGTCAAAAGTTCATATATGATATGTCATTGTACTCAGAGTGTCATTCTTTAGTGTCATTCTCTATCGAATAAAGTAAAATTATAGCGAGGGTGCAATTTAAAAATTAAAAGTTGTAGTCATTTCCGGTAAAATAGGAAGTGACCCGAAAAAATTGAATACAAATCAATATCAATCAATCCTAATTTATGTCATATACTACGAGCCCTAACAACTATATGTTGGGACAAGGTCATATTATGGAATTATTGCCCTGGTTTTTCAAAATGACTGAAAAATATATGTTTAATTTTTTAAATATAAACATAGCCAACTTATAAACAAACAACTTGACAATATTTTTATGAATTTGTAAATCAATCCATATTTACAGTAGCGGATTTTGTTCATAAAAGGACAAATTTGCTGACAACTAAATGTTGGGACAAGTATTTTTAAATAAATAGGCGGCTTTGCTATAAACGTCACAAATGTCGCACACTGTTTACTTCAGCATTGACAGCTTGTAAGTGACTCGATACTTTGAGTAATGAGATTTACTGTAAGACATTTTAATTTTTTTAATTTTCAATTTTGTTAATTTAATCCAAAGTAATGGTCCGTGGAAAAGCTACAAATCAAAAACTACGCGAAATTATCATTCGTCAATACAGTACGGGAAGAACAATTCGAAAAGTTTCTGATCATTTAAGTATTCCAAAAACCACGGTTTTTAATATAATAAAAAAATACGGCGAATCTGCCAACGTAGACGTTAGAGGTAAAAGTTCGGGAAGGCCAAAAGTTATATCTCAGAGAGATTTACGAAATTTAGTAAAAATTTGCAAGTCTGCAAGAAGAAGTACTCTTCGCGAAGTAACAGTTAAATGGAATACTGTAACTGGTTTAAATATATCAAGAGAATGTTGCCGAAAATATATCCACAAATGCGGTCTGGGGTTTACAAGGTAAACTTTATTTTGTGTGGATAATCAATTACCTGAAGATTATTGATACAAATTCTTATTTAGACCAAAGCAAAACCGCTACTGACAGAAATTCAAAAGAAAAATCGCTACAATTGGGCAAAATTTAAATTATCGTGGACACAAAATGATTGGAATAAGGTCATATTTAGCGATGAGTCTAAATTTGATGTTTCCATTAGACATC